GAAGTGACAGATAACACTTCTTTGTGTAAGATGTTCTGAAAGCTGATGACAGTGTGAAAACTTGCATGTCACGGGTATTTGTTTGTTCTTGGCTCTTGTGCTCGCTCTTTATGTCCCCTGGTAGGGAGAAAGAGAGGATAAATCATGTCCGAAGTCATTTCTTAGTATTCTATTATTCAAATCAAACCACTTGGTCCATGGGTACGGGCACTTCTCCTATGCTGTACCTATATGCCTTTGTATCCACAAAGCGAATGTAGACATACTTGACTGTGTTGATAGGCATCATCCAATCCTTAGACCAACTAATCACAATATTTTAGTCTGCCCGAAGTGCGAATGCATCTCCATCTCCTATTATTTCTCACAAGATTTTTATATCGTCAGAGTATACCAGCATTGGGGACTCAACTATAGTTGAGAGTTTATTCAATTACAATATAAAAAGTAAACGATCTAGGAAAGAGACTTGCGGTACTCCATTAGGTACCTGTTTCCACGTGGAGCACCTGGAATTTATTCTTACTCCTTGTCTACGACCTGCCCAGAAACTATTCATACACTTGATGAGAGGTTTTTGATGTCTAGATTATTCAGCTTCAAGAGCAGTCTACTCTTTGGCAACCTATCAAATGCTTTGCTGAAGTCTATGTAGACAAGATACATTGATGTTCCATTGTCTATTGCATCTTTCCATCTCTCCCTTGCTATAAGAAGGTCTGTTGTGCGAGATAAACCTTTTCTGAAACCCTGTTGTTAGTTTCCACAACTGTCATCATGGTACTCTCGACTACCGTTTCCAGTATTTTAACTATGACACTGGAGAGGCTATGAGGTCCATAGTTTGTTGAGCGTTGTAGTGATACTGCTTTACGTATTGGAGTGACAACTGAATCCTTACAGTCCTTAGTGACACATTCAATATCGTGGTCAATTGAGCAGCAAAATATTACGCAATTTGTCTTAAAATGTTAAGGTGTAGTTCGTTCAATCCTGCTGTTATGGAGTTTGCTTTGTCTTGATCTTCTTTTTTCTTTTGAGACACATTCTCTTCAGTAATTAGGTTGGGATTTCAATGATCTTTTCTTGTCCTGTAATTTATTTAAGAGAACAGTCTTTCTAGCTGTGTGATTGCAGATTGCGCTAACTGCCCTCATATCGAAAAATTATCCATGAACAGCTATCATCATTTTTACCTTCGGCTAGACTGATTAGGTCTTCTCATGATGGGTTCATGGCTGAACGCTCATGTTCCACATCGCACTTAAAATTTACTGGCCAAATTACCTAGAGAAGAGATGTTGGTCAGACAGTGATAATTATGTACTTCGATTTTCGTAAGGCTTACGATATTGTCTAACATAGTTTTCTTCTTCCAAAAGCCTCTTCATTTAACATAAGGAATCCCCTTTTATCACGGTTCAAATCTTTTTTAACAGAATGTAGTTAATTCGCTTACTTTGAATCTTGATACTCTAAACCTGTGAGTGTAGCCAATCGGGTTATACAAGAAAGTGTGATTGAACCATTACTCTTTCCCATTTTCATCAATGACGTTTACTCACTCTTTCAGCACGAAAAACCTTTGATTTTGCCGATCATCCAAGAGAGGTTCATTCATTCTCATCTCTTATAAAAAAACTATTTCACTGGCAATCCAAGGAGTTATTAACAGGTTATGCCAATAGACTGGGTTGTGAAATCTGGCGCCGAATGTTGATAAAGGTTGATTTATCTACTTTGCATATAGCACTAACCTATATCTGGCTCTGCGCACACACACACACACCGGAACCTCTCGACACTGTTCAAGACTTGTGTTTGAGGTGTAGCGACACTTTGAACGTTCCCAAGAACATTACATTTCAAGTATCCAAAGCAAGAAAGCTCATTGGAATCACAATGGTAAATTCCGATAACATGGAGTTGAGATTATTATTATTGTACAATTAATGTATCCTATCTATCCCTAAATATGGTATTCTAGTTTACAGTAATTGCAGACATAATCACTTGATGAAAATTGAAAGTATTCAAAAAAAATTCGCTAAAGCTGTTATGGGGTATTTCAACAATAGGGATTACTACCAAAGGTGTCTACAAATCGAGTTAGGACCTCTTTGAACCAGGCGCATTAAATCGAACTTTGTCTTCATTTACCGGATTGCAAATGACATTCCATGCTTTTCGACATCTACCCTGTTCGTACTCCATCATATCATCGCACACCAACAAAGAGGATATTTTGTCGATTCCGAGAACCTACACAAACTTACGCCAGAATATTTCGTTATTCACTACTCAGCCATGTGGAACAGATTACAAATGAATCTCCATTGCAGTGGAACTATAACCCGATTCACAAGTTGCCTTGATGACTTTCCGAAAGTGGTTTGTGCCACATTCTAAATGCCAATGTGATTATCAACGAATATATACAAATAATGTCCTTCATCTATCTTACTAACTGTAAAGCAAGGTAGAACATTTGAAACTTATCCTGTTTATTTTGCTTTCTTTCTATTCACTTGATTACTTGAAGTATATTCATTTTATTATCTGAAGACATCTTATATTCATACTTATGATCATTATTGTTACTGTCATCATGTTTGGTCATCCGACACATTAGATATTCTTTTCATCCCTTATTTTTCTTCTTATCCTCTTTTTTCCTCCCAAATATATATTACCCCTAAACATCCAAAGTTTATAACTAAAAACATGTTACTTGTGTTACACTTTAATAAATTCACTTTTAAGATTCAATTTATCTTCAACACGTATAAATGAACCATTTTATTTGATATTTGATTATCCTTTGAGATTAATAGAGATTTTCATAGCATCATTCCAAACTATTACTGCGCAAACGCTTATCCTACTGTCGAATATTCTTGCAGTAATAATTTTTTCTGATTCGCTTTTATTTTTTTTATCTCTTCTTCTTCGCATTGCTTATTTGGTAATACATACGCAATCATGTAGTCCTCTTCTTTTGACAAAGACTTATTAAACTATTCATCTACATGAGTTTCAGTTTCATTTTGGAAAGGACAGGAGGCTTGATGGCCTGTGTTAGTCTTGGCGATGATAGTCTCTCAGTTGATTCAAATTTCCTTTGAAAGAGTCTACGGGTGGAGCCTCAACCACAAGCTGAGGTAATGAATTCCACTAGTTGATAATTCGATGGGAAAGTCGATAGTCAGCTGACAAGTAATTTTTTCTGGGCTTGTGAACTTTATTGAAGTGTCCTCACAAACTCTCTGTTTTGGTAAGCAAGAAAAATGAGGGCATATCAGGTGCGAATTTCGGAGTTCTAAGCTATCACCCTTACTTCGTATCACTCTCCATATCTTGACATCATCGGCATATAGCAAGACCGGTGATGACAGTAAACGAAGAAGGTCAATTACATACAAGAGGAATACCCTGGAGCACTCCATTAGGCACAATTTGCCAGATAGACAACTTTGAGTTCAACCGTATTCCTTGTTGGCGCCCAACTAGGAAGTTTTTTATCCACACCAATAGATTGACTCCAATTCTGACACTTCTTAGCTTATATAAAAGCCGGTTGTGCCGAACTTTGTCACAAGCTTTGCTGAAGTCAAAGTAGGCTACATATACAGGTAACCTTGGGTCCTTGAGAGCGCACCAGCTTTCCGAGCCACTAATAAGTTAGTGAGACATGAATAACCTGTTCTAAAACCATGCTACTTCTCCAAAAGGACACGGTTTTCATCAAGAAGCTTAAAGAGCTCCTACCAAATAATCTTTTCTAAGATTTTAACAACCACACTAGTTAAGCTGACGGGTCGGTTATACTCAAATCTATGTTTCGTACCTGTTTTGAAGACAGGACTTACGATGGCGTTCTTCCAATCTTCTGGTAAACGACCCTGCGTTACGGATAGATTAAAGCATATACTTAAAGGTTTCGCAACGAAGTTAGATAATTCCCTCAGTAGCCTAGGATGCAATTCATTGGGCCCCGTGGATTTACCTATGTCAAGCTTATTTAGCAAACCAAAGATATCGAGTTCTTTAATGGTCACGCTATCCAGTGTGTGTGGGGGATTAGCATACGCTGACGGGAAGGGTGCTTCTATGGTTTATACATTGCTAAAGTAGTTCGAGAACACTTGAACCTTACCAAAGTCGTCCCCCACTAATGATGCGGCAGTACTGGCATCCCATAATGCAAGAATATTTCTTCTTTTTGTCCTTTGGTTTGCATACGTATACAAGCGTTTACGACATTCTATGGATTCCGTGACAATTTTCTCTTCGTAAAACCTTCTAGACTTACAGAGGGTCGAAGCACTGGTATTCCGAGCCTTTCGATACCGAGATTTTGTCCCACCAGTCCCCATTAACCCAAATCTATCCCACATTTTTCTTATCTTACAGAGCAGGACGCAGACCTCCAGACTGAGCCATAATGGAGGGTTTCTTGGCGCCCTTGCTGTAGTTTAAGTGATGTGGGGTTTATTAACTTGTATGTTTGCTTTCCAAAAGTTAGGTTTGGATTGAGCAGACGCGTGTTCAATTTTGACAATTCTATAAAAGTCAAAGTTTAGCACTGAATGATCACTTTCACCTAGGGGTGGCATGTAATCGAGGTTCTGGAAGTCATCTTCATAATGGGTCAATGTAAGATCCAGTAAAGATGATCCGGAGTTCGGGTCGTACCTAATCGCATCTTTCACGTGTTGCACTAGGGCACATGTGACAACCGCAGATTTTTCCAGTCTACCATGGGTGCATTAAAAACTCCTAGTATTAGGCATCGAACGCTTTGTGACCAAGTATTGAGACTTTAACAAGACTTCATTTACCTCACAGCTTGGACTGCGATACACCAAACCAATCAGCTACTCTTGTCGCTTGTATTTCAAGCGTCAACTAACTAACCCACACGTCCCACTCTCATGGGATACACTGTCGATCATGGCAAATGGGATAGCATTACTAATGAATAGAGCTACTCCCCCTCCTTTACGGCAAGGTATAAACGGTAATCCCTTTCAAATCTGTCCGCCGTTTCGTTTCAACGACCTTGAACGCGCTGACTGGAAGCGGGCATTCCGTATTTCAATTGCCGTGTGTGTGTTGGGTCCTATGAGTATTAAATGTTTCCATATATGAGTCATCTTTTGATGCATAATAAACACTAAATAACTGCTAAGAGCATTAACTGAGTATTTTCTGTTTTGTAGTGCACACTTTAGCTCTGTTGTTCCTTCGAAACTTGATCTGTGGTCCTAAGTGCTGTAGTGAAAGTCAACAGCTATATATAATTTGTTGATAAGGTCCAGAAAACAACGTAAGAAAGATAAAATAACGTAAAAGGTTATAGATGCGCATAGTTTTTGTGAGTTAAGACGAAATGTCAACTGAAGGGTAAGTCCTAAATATTTGTTGTTCTTCCTTCAGTTAATTTTTTTCAAGGAATAACCTTTTTTTAACAGCTATTGTATGTTGTCTCTAGTGCTTCATGCTCAAGTGAAATTTCAGTGAACGTAAGCGACGCGTTCCAACGTATTATGCTGAATAAGAGATTCGGAAGCTGGATTGAATTAGATAATGCGCTAAAGGATTTCCATAAAGTATGATGGGATAAATCTATGTTTTCTCAGATGACCCATACACACTATGTTCACGCAGAAAGTAGATTGTTGAAGGATGTGAGATATAAATACTTGTTCGTAGTGTTTCGTTGCACGTTTGGTCGTAAACGTAAATCAGAAGGTCTGAATGTGATTAAAAAACCGTGAGGACTCTAACTAATGTGTTACCTTTAAGGTCTAAATTTTTAAATTGCCAATCGATGTTTCGCGTAAGATTGGAGGGTCAACAATACGTTATAAAATCTTACAACATGACTCACAACCATCCGTGTACTAGTTCGTGGATGGTTTGTGATCCGTTGAGTAGACGATTGTCATCAGAAGAAAAAGAAAACTTGAAACCAGTTATATTGCACTGTCAGTCGACGGACGAAGTTATCGAAAGTATTAAGGAAAGAACAGGTAAGCAGGTGACCGCTGCTGATGTCAAAAATATGAAAGCTGAACTCTCCACTGGTAAGTGTATATAAATATATTTCAGGTTGGACTCGGAAGCAGGTATTGCAGATGATGCGACAAAACGGTCAAGTTAGAGAGCATGCAGAAAATGGATCTATTACGGCGGTATGCTTCAGCAGTTATGATCAGATACGGCTGTACAATCAATATCCCGAAGTCGTGTGTATTGATTCTACTTATAAAACTAATAATAAAAAGTGAATATGATTTTCGTTTTGTTCTACTATGTAGGTATTCATTATTCCAGTTAGTGGTAACAGACAATTGGGGTCGAGGTCGAACTGTTATGTTTGCATGGACAAAAAAAGAAAAGCGTGCTGATGTTACGTGGATTTTGGATAAATTCAAGGAGATAATGGGTAACACGACCAAAACAGAAACATTTGTGATGGATTGCGCACGATCTGAAAGCGCGGCTGTCCGTATAACACACGGGCATGCAAACATTATTTTGTGCGCCTTTCATGTGATTCGCGCTTTCCGGAAAAAGGTACACCAATGGTTGGTTACATAAAATTTCTTTTAGACAAATGATAAAATACTAAAAAACCTACTTGACTCGACTGGTAACCGCAGAAACGGTCGGAAGGTAATTTTTTAATGTATTTATTCACTAGATTTAATCAATATTACAGAATAATAAACCGCAGAGACAGTGATAGGCCAGTACCTATCACGTTTCTGGATGCCACGTAAAACAATGTGGGCGCGTGCCTTTTACGGCAGTGTATTAACTTTGGGTAACAACACGAATAATCGTGTTGAGTCATTAAATAGGCAGATTAAAAGATATGTACGCAAAAGCGACAGCTTGCACAAATGCATGTACAAGGCTTTTAAGTGGAGTTCAATGACATTCTCTAGAAAAAGCATGGAAGACCAAATAATCAGTGGACGAACATACAATTATGATGCTCCACAGCGTCTTATACCCTTGCTGAACATGTTGACCCCATTCGCAAGATCCAAAGTGTTATACGAACTAAAAAAAATGCGTTTCGTTAACTTAGAATATGAAAGCGGCGAGTGGTTGTTTATGCTTGACCGCGGACAACATTACGAAGTAGATGTAAGTATTTGTGAATGCAATTGTAGCACGTTTAATATGTGTCGATATCCGTGCCGCCATCTCCTGCTGGCATATATTAAAAGACGAAGTCTAACAGGTAAGCTATTTAAATTATAAAATATAAACTGCATAGCTCATCAACTTCTTAGGTGTTGCTGTAGATGGAAATTAGACAATACGCACAATTTACAAAACAACACAGTAATTTCATTACGGAGACGAAGTAAAGAATATATATATATATATATATATATATATATATATATGTGCAAACAACGAATTGTTGAGAAATATGATGAACGCTTCGCGAATCAGGTGGAGAGAAGGGTCTACAATTTTTACTTAAGAATTATAAACAGCTAGACAGCAGGTTTACGATTAACAGTTCTTTGTGGCTTTATTTTATACCACTATTTATACAACTTGTAAACTTATCTTTCCACTTTAGTAGTCATGAAAAATCAATAAACTTTTTCTCATTTTTTATTTTCGTCTTCTTCATACTTTCATGGGGAGGTTTACCAATCGCTTTAACGAATAATTGTGTGTGAAAATTAAGAATTTGTACTACTGTATTAGTTACGAACTGTCGTTAGAACTTAGCGTTATATCGTTGTTCATTGTCAGGAATCAATGAGTCAAATAAAACAATAATGCGACTTCCACGTTAAACCTTACAGGTTAAACAACCGCCTTACATATTTTCCGTTGTCAGATTACGTCCATTATCAAGTTAGTATTAGTATGGAACTAGACAATTTCATGCAGCTAGTTCCTTGATAAGATGGATTACGTAATCCTTAGACCACCCTTCCACTCACACTTCTTTGCTAAATTATGTTAACTCTTCAGATTGTCTTCACTTATCTTATTAGTTCTTAATTCAATGATTTATTCATTACATCTAGAATTTCATGCAATTGGTTCCCTTTATGAATTTAAATAGAGCAAGAACAAACATTGATGCAGAATAGTATGAATTCATATTATTTCGAGGTTTCTCGTCAGCTGCTTACAAACCAAAAATTGTGATAGAATTTTTACATGGAGATAGTGTGAAACAATTGACAGAAATGAGTGTAAATAACGTGATATATATATAGTTATTATTGTAATCACGTTATTTACACTCATTTCTGTCAATTGTTTCACACTATCTCCATGTAAAAATTCTATCACAATTTTTGGTTTGTAAGCAGCTGACGAGAAACCTCGAAATAATATGAATTCATACTATTCTGCATCAATGTTTGTTCTTGCTCTATTTAAATTCATAAAGGGAACCAATTGCATGAAATTCTAGATGTAATGAATAAATCATTGAATTAAGAACTAATAAGATAAGTGAAGACAATCTGAAGAGTTAACATAATTTAGCAAAGAAGTGTGAGTGGAAGGGTGGTCTAAGGATTACGTAATCCATCTTATCAAGGAACTAGCTGCATGAAATTGTCTAGTTCCATACTAATACTAACTTGATAATGGACGTAATCTGACAACGGAAAATATGTAAGGCGGTTGTTTAACCTGTAAGGTTTAACGTGGAAGTCGCATTATTGTTTTATTTGACTCATTGATTCCTGACAATGAACAACGATATAACGCTAAGTTCTAACGACAGTTCGTAACTAATACAGTAGTACAAATTCTTAATTTTCACACACAATTATTCGTTAAAGCGATTGGTAAACCTCCCCATGAAAGTATGAAGAAGACGAAAATAAAAAATGAGAAAAAGTTTATTGATTTTTCATGACTACTAAAGTGGAAAGATAAGTTTACAAGTTGTATAAATAGTGGTATAAAATAAAGCCACAAAGAACTGTTAATCGTAAACCTGCTGTCTAGCTGTTTATAATTCTTAAGTAAAAATTGTAGACCCTTCTCTCCACCTGATTCGCGAAGCGTTCATCATATTTCTCAACAATTCGTTGTTTGCACATATATATATATATATATATATATATATATTCTTTACTTCGTCTCCGTAATGAAATTACTGTGTTGTTTTGTAAATTGTGCGTATTGTCTAATTTCCATCTACAGCAACACCTAAGAAGTTGATGAGCTATGCAGTTTATATTTTATAATTTAAATAGCTTACCTGTTAGACTTCGTCTTTTAATATATGCCAGCAGGAGATGGCGGCACGGATATCGACACATATTAAACGTGCTACAATTGCATTCACAAATACTTACATCTACTTCGTAATGTTGTCCGCGGTCAAGCATAAACAACCACTCGCCGCTTTCATATTCTAAGTTAACGAAACGCATTTTTTTTAGTTCGTATAACACTTTGGATCTTGCGAATGGGGTCAACATGTTCAGCAAGGGTATAAGACGCTGTGGAGCATCATAATTGTATGTTCGTCCACTGATTATTTGGTCTTCCATGCTTTTTCTAGAGAATGTCATTGAACTCCACTTAAAAGCCTTGTACATGCATTTGTGCAAGCTGTCGCTTTTGCGTACATATCTTTTAATCTGCCTATTTAATGACTCAACACGATTATTCGTGTTGTTACCCAAAGTTAATACACTGCCGTAAAAGGCACGCGCCCACATTGTTTTACGTGGCATCCAGAAACGTGATAGGTACTGGCCTATCACTGTCTCTGCGGTTTATTATTCTGTAATATTGATTAAATCTAGTGAATAAATACATTAAAAAATTACCTTCCGACCGTTTCTGCGGTTACCAGTCGAGTCAAGTAGGTTTTTTAGTATTTTATCATTTGTCTAAAAGAAATTTTATGTAACCAACCATTGGTGTACCTTTTTCCGGAAAGCGCGAATCACATGAAAGGCGCACAAAATAATGTTTGCATGCCCGTGTGTTATACGGACAGCCGCGCTTTCAGATCGTGCGCAATCCATCACAAATGTTTCTGTTTTGGTCGTGTTACCCATTATCTCCTTGAATTTATCCAAAATCCACGTAACATCAGCACGCTTTTCTTTTTTTGTCCATGCAAACATAACAGTTCGACCTCGACCCCAATTGTCTGTTACCACTAACTGGAATAATGAATACCTACATAGTAGAACAAAACGAAAATCATATTCACTTTTTATTATTAGTTTTATAAGTAGAATCAATACACACGACTTCGGGATATTGATTGTACAGCCGTATCTGATCATAACTGCTGAAGCATACCGCCGTAATAGATCCATTTTCTGCATGCTCTCTAACTTGACCGTTTTGTCGCATCATCTGCAATACCTGCTTCCGAGTCCAACCTGAAATATATTTATATACACTTACCAGTGGAGAGTTCAGCTTTCATATTTTTGACATCAGCAGCGGTCACCTGCTTACCTGTTCTTTCCTTAATACTTTCGATAACTTCGTCCGTCGACTGACAGTGCAATATAAC